CCTTTGTCGTCTGTATATAATCTCTATTCCGAATCGATGTACGCAGTCGCGAACGTCATCTCGACCGAAGGTTAATTACACAAGCGCGACAATAACTCTCACGGTTCAACGAAGTTATACAACTGTCGAAACTGAAAGACGCACGGGTGGATTACCGAGCGCCCAGTATTATGCAAATGCGTCGGTGTAACGTGGCCGGGGTCTTGCACCACGAGCCTTTGGCAATTCGGTTTCAAAACGTTTTCAAAACGGCGGGTGTATAGTCAGGCTCGCAGGTAGACGCGATCTACTGTTGCGGGAGTATCGAAAACCGTGGCGTTTTCGGGCTATCCGTATGAATTTGCATGTTTTAAAAATGCGAATCGATCTTCGGTGTTATTTTGTAGGAAGCATGGCCGGGCCGGTATGCAACGCGACGGCGTCTGCCGCCTCTATCACGGACAGATTTGGCACATCCGCCGGCGAGCGCCAACGCAGCCAGACCATAAATATCCCAGCCCGTTAGCGCCGCAGACATGCGAATACTTTCACATTGAAGCGTTGACCGACTCAGACACGAATTATTTCGTGTTCTTATCTTTCGAGCGAAACAAACGTAAAGAAAAAAACATTTAAATAAGTGACAAACGAGCTAATAGTCCATCTAATGCTAGATGGCTGCTGCAACCATGCAGCGCCTGGACATCTGGAACTAACTTCAAACGATGAAAGTCACAGTTGCCTGACAAAGCCTGTAATATTTTTTGTAGAAAACTGAAATGACAAAGTAACAGTTCATCTAATAGTAACGTGCTACTGCTGTCCATGGATACCTGCCAGCTACAAACAAGGAAGGCTACGTATGCCTTGTCACTTCTTAGGTATTACAAGGAATGCCGGGTTTCTATACTCTTTACAGACAGGAACACAGTAGTGACAGCACTGCTATATGCTGTTTCTTACCCCTCAAAAGCAGTAGGTGTACTGTTTCTAAACGGAAAAGATAGGTAATATATACCCAGATAGAGCCTTCGGCAGAAAAGGAGTCAGTCATACCTACCAAATATGAATATCTTGCTAAGTAGAATGTCGTGCGATAATGAACCTTATGTATTTGCGCTTTCGCAATCAAATGCAATGTAACTAGGTATCGTCACTGTTTGCGGTGCATTTGATTCGATCACCCGATCCGGCTTCTGAGGAGCGCGTTACGCAAAAAAAAAATAAGTTTTGTTGTGTTACCTGGAACGATTCGACGCGGTATTATAATTATTTTATCACGGAGAGGGCGGGATGGGTTTTGACAATACACGGATCGGATTATACCTGAAATTGTTTACAAAGGTCGTGTCTACAAGTCTCCGCTCTGTCTGGGTTTCTATGCGATTTATCAATTTTTTTTTTAATTCAGAACAAGTTCATAGTAAATTACAATTTCAAATGACGCGACCGCGGGACAAAAGCCGCTGTCGTCACGTGCGTTTCCGTTCCGTAGTATCCTGTCGGATACAATATCAAGGTAAATGAGAACAAAGGTAGTTTATAAGGAAACATCCGGCTTTCGTCCGTGAAAGTATCCACGTTAATAGTTAGTTCGTGTTTGTTAAAAAGGTCTTCCGGGAATGCAACAAATTCGTTGTACAATGTGTGTCTGCGGGTGAGGATTCTATTTGACGTGTGATTATCTCGGGACCCGTAAAGCTACCTGGCCCGGTTACAAAGCGAACTAGATTTCTTGCCCAAACCTCGCCGGATGAATGATCCAGATTTTATCTCTCGTACTTTGTAATTTCGTATTACAACGCCAGTAATAATATTAGCGATGACGTCCTCAAATATCGACTGTTTTTCAAAATAACATCAGGGAATAATTTATGAATCTTTTCGTTTTAATTTTCATATCATAGTCTTCGACCACATAACTAAAAATGAAATTTTCATTAAAGCAAACAACTTCGTCGCACAAGTGTTAAGAAAATCGGATTCAAAGCGCGCACGAAATCAATATTAATGCTCTTATTTACCTTTGACACAGCGGAGGAACCCGAGAGCCGCGCCGCGTCCCGCCGGGTGACTCGAATTTATAATCAAGGGTGTCTTTGTAAAAATGAATGAAAAATGAGTTCAAAGGGCGGGACACTTATTAGAAATACACCTTCCACACGGGACCATTCTCACGATCGCGAAAGAACAGCTGGTCGGTGCTGCGGCTACTTGACGCATAATTAGAATGTATTAGGTGTAAAGGTCAGCTGTCCAATTGTATTAACTGACCGTCTGTATAATCGGGCGCCTTATAAAAGGACTATGGGAAAGTTAGCAGACGTTCCCGGCTACCTGAGCGGGCCAAAAATGCGCTAATGACGTACAAAAAACGGTCGTTTCGTTCCCGAAGCAGACACATGGCGAAACGAACGTGCAACATCTCCTTTAATTAAACCATCGATCAATATACACACACAACATAATCAGGAAAATTGCAGATTATTTTAGAAGTTTTGTACTTGACACGGATTTTGCATCGATCGACGCGTGCGCATAATCGCTAATAATGACGTGGAATATTCAAGTACAATGCATTTACGTGCGTACTGAGCTATGGATGAATATTACTACATACATTTTATCCTAAATCGTATGAATTAAATTTAATAAAGAAGTGTTGTGGGCGGAAGTTTGTCTTTCACTCGGAGTTACAGAAGGTCCGTGTAATAACCGAATGTAAAACATTCCGGCTTTGAGCCGTAACTTCAAAAAGGCTTCTCAAGTCGCGGCGGCGGCTCGCCTTTGCGGTACTGCTATTACGTAAAGGGTAGAGCAAAAGTTTTTACGTTTGAACCACGGTCGCGGCTGGCGACGCTTGCCGTTCCGCATCGCGAAACTAAGCTTTTGACAACGTTCGCTTTGATGATGCGCCGCTGAAGGGTATTAAATTTTACCTTTTTCCCTTGTCCGTCCACTCAAAGCAGACAGAGTTAATACAGTTGCTTAAATAAATCTCTGCGACTTTCGTATCTATTATATATTCAGTCAAAAGCATATTGAAATTCGCCTGACAATGTCACAAGGGACGAGCGAGCGCCGACAAAGGTCAAAGATACTATTACGTTCAAATCCTTATGTTTGTGGAGGCGTAATGAAAATTGTCTCGGCGGGTGCTCCAAGGAGAGTGAAATACACGTACCGTTAGCTGTTGGTCCTAACGTGGGACGATGCCTGTTATCTGTGTCTATCCAATTTATAAAAACATTGTGACCAGAATTTAAGGGAACGAAATATTGGATTCGGTAGGCCAATACAGATAGAAAAAAAAAAGGAAAAAAGAAGCAAGAAATATTTAATCGACAAAAAGCCAATAAACAATCAAAGGGTTAGTATGCGGGACAGGTGAACAACGTCTACATACAAAAAACCCTTGGAATGTTATTAAACTACGTATTAAAGGGTGCATATAATAAGTCCTTACAAAACTTTCTTGAATCACCTGATGGGATAAGGGTGGCGCAGGTACCCGCATAATGTGGAGTTCGGGGGTCGGCAGGTTAGTGTCGCGCGGACGCAGCTAAGACCCTTGACACGATTACATCGCGTAGAGCAGCAATGACACCGCTCGCCTTGAGCCGTTAGCATTGCCGGAGATATTCGCAACAATGGAGGTCAGATAACATTACAAAAGTTCCAAAATCCGCCGGTTCCTACCGGTTGGCGGTCGTAATTAATAAACGTTGGGCAACGCTTGTGCACGATTGTCCTATTGCGCTCTGAGTTGTTTGCAATGCACCGTGTATGCTATATTGTATTAATGACGCGTGGTTGTGCAATCTGATTATACCTTGATACGGCAAAATTATGTCTAAAGCTAAGTAATAAATATGAATGCCTGTCGTAGTGTTTATACTTACATATAACTATTTCATCTATCCTATGAAGAAGACATTTGGTTGTTAACCGGAAAACCGTGGTATCATTTAGTAGGGTATGTTACGTAATTATAAGTTCGTATCTACGATGCCAAATTAACGCCGCAAATGTACCTAACGTTAACGAGCGTTTATCGCGGCCTCATGTAAATTGGAATAATATATTCTTCGATAACTTTATCGCGGTCGTACGTGGCGCTATCGAAAAACAAAGGAAATGACTCGCTACTTAAGACACAAAACGTTTCCGTTACGTCTTACGACATTTTTATGGGCCCTTTAATGCTGTTTCTCACGATATATTTGCGTGGGTGAGGTTATAAAAACAGAGGAAGCCAACGATTGGAACGGGACTATCGACGTTATTATGTAATATATTTATTAGTCTTTATCCTATTGACGTGTATATGCAATGTGCACTATTTATACACTTGGCAAACGTGCGTCTGCAATCGAAAATCTCGCAATTTAGTTTCCCTCGTAAGTTACTTAATCGAGACATAGATCTCGGGCCGAGGCTAGGCGCTTGCATTGCGAGCGCCGGGAGATATCGCTACAGGACCGTTGCGTCAGTTATTTCACTGGCAAACTTTAGCACACGGCAATCGAAACAGAGACCGAAACAACTTTACGCATAATATGTCTTGTTTCTTAATTGCGAATTTAAAGTTCTGTTACGTTAGATCTTGATTTCATAAATTAGTATTCTTAGAAAAGTTGGTTAAAATACAGAGTAATACGTCCTACTGCTATGTACGATTTTTTCTCATTTTTGACAAGGGTTTTTGTGTCGGGCATGAGTCCGCCACGCGGAGCCAATGCGTGTCGGCGGACTTCACTTGTCCCAGAAATTTTCAGCTTCCCTCACAGTGTTTTCTCCATTACACGTGACAAATAAAACAGCACATAAAATTGTTCTTAACAATTTTAATTGTGTTGTCAGGGATACAACTTGAGTTACTCGTGTCGTGCACTACGCTATTTAAGGCGACTACTAATATCCTGAACTACTGTAGTCTTTTGTTCTCAAAAAGAAACCCCAAATTAGCTATAGAAATTAATTAATAAACAAATTTATGTCGCTAACTTAAATTTTCTTACCTTTGAGAATCAGCGAACACGAACTTCCGGAGCTTGAGGTCCCTTAAAACGATTCCCTGTTCGTGGCAAGCGGCTACGGTCTCGGCCATTTGCCTGAACAGCCTCCGGGCTTCGTGTTCTCTTAGCCTCTTCCGCGCCCTCACGTACGAGTGGAGATCGGAGTGCGACCGGGGGAAGATAAGGTACACCCTTTTGTCGCCGACTAGAACTTCGTGGATGGGGTTGACGTGCGGGTGTCCGTCCAGGCGGTAGTGTGCTTGGAGTAAACTGCTGCAGTCGCGGGACACCACCTATGGGAGGCGTGGTACAAGTTAGTAATAAAATAGAATGGTTTTTAATTAAGCGTCTTATATATTATAATGTGTAATTCAAATACTTGCATCATTCGCGTGAATAATGATGATGATTAAGCCAGTTCTCGATTTTTCGTCAGCGTGAATTCTTGGATATGTTTAGAGAGGTTATATGAGATATTAAAAGTGAAATAATTTATTCGCAATTACTTTGTGCAACTTGAGTAAATTTCATGTCGATAGGTCCAATATTTTTGTGTTAAATACTTTTGTACAGGTAGACAAGCAATTTTTTTTAACGTTAGTTTTGTGAAAAAACTTGTGGATGTCGATAATTTGAAAGAGATATGCACTAAAGCCTTATTTATATTTTATTATAGATAATATTTAGTAAATGTCGAATAATAATGTTCTTAACACTAAAAATAATCTTACCATCTTCATTACGTAGTTGGTAATAAAAATATTAAACTGAACTTAGTAGAATTAGTAGAATAATAATGAATATGGACTAAAATTATTCGTCGCAATAATTTATCGGTATAAAGAAACTATTTTCTATATAATTTTCCTGTTATCTGCAGCGTATACCAAGTATTGATTACAGACCGAATGATTTAAATATTAACATTTACAATATACGGTTATCATTCTTGAACGTTCTGACAAAAAGGCAAACTACTATTTATAAAAAGTCGTTAGTTAAGTCCAATTCTTCAAATCTAAAAGGGGAGTTTTTCAACAAGGTTACGATTTTAAAAGCTAGGTCTAACGTGTATAACGAAGCTTAAAAGTATTGAATAGAGTACCTACAGTTGTCCAAATACAATACAATCAGCATTGAAAAGGAATTTCTGTGTGATAACTATATAAAAAGGATGTAATTGTTCATTCGCGTAATAAATAAAATATGGTGTTTATGAAAATATTTCTGTAAGTTTTCGACCACTATAATAAAATGCTTACATGACCTATTTGAGTAAGTACTTAAGATTAGAAATTAAACATTTCAAAAATTATACTTTAATATTACTTAATTGTTTTTCTAATATATTGCTTATGAAACGGATAAATATCACTGAAAATACTATTATAAGATTCATATGCGCGATATATAAAGGTAACTGCATATTTCGTTTTTGTGTTGGGTACCTACATCAAATAATACTTTTCTCCGAGAACTCAATCGAGGGCATTTCGAAGGGTCGATTTTCTAATCAGCAGATAAAAGTTATTCACAGGATTAATTACAACATTTACAGGTTAACTGTTTCTGTTTTTCTGAATATAAACGCTTGAAATATCAGCCTTAAATTAAATTATAAATAAATAACTTTTCATATTGACTGTATATTATATTGTTAAATATTTTGATAAGTTCATTTTATTAAAAAGAAAGAAAAAGGATTATAAATGTTAACATTGCTAAACCTGCTGTTTTGTAGGGTGATTGTAAAGAAACCGAGACCCTTTTTTACTGGTAACGAGAAATTCTATCGATATATCTATCATCTAGGAATATATCCTGAAATTCTTATTCATTTTGATTCTTAATCTATGACAGACAGTAGATGTCATTGAGCCATAGCATCCGCTTACCATCTGATAGACTGTATGCTCTTTTGTCACCTTACTAAACTTGTTTCTTTTTTTGTTGCAGCAGTGCATTTTAGGATTTTCTATTAAAACTTCATTGTCTTTTATTAGCGGACGGGCGTGAAATGTCAACGACATTGCGAACGAATCTGATTCTCCAACTCATGAATGATGAATCACATAGCATGCATCGTCATCGTCACATTTCTTTTTCAACTCGCCAACGTATAAATATCCAGACGATTATTTTAGCTTAGGGCCTTCGCAGATTCGCAGACCAATTGTCGCGAACTTTATATATTCTACATAAATTTTTTAACGTTGACCGCCATACAGAAATAAGTCGTGACCCATTTGTAGGAATGTTTGCGTAAAAATCGAGAACGATAAGAATTCGCAATGTTCGCTCGGTACTTGATAATATTTAGCCACAAATGCGGTTTACGGCAACTAACCTACATAGTGTTATCAATTTTTATTTAATCAGCCAGTTACAAAATGTATACCAATTCACAAATTGGGTTAAACTACCGAAACACCTTTATAAAATTAATACACCTAATATTTAAAAAATCGGGGCTTAATTCTGTTATATACACCATATCTTAGCACCGACTTCAATTTCTTTGGGGCCAGCTTTTAACTAAAAGTTAATTTTTTTGTTAGTATTGAAGTCACCATAATATGTAAATTTAAATATGTATTATATGTAATAATAGTAATCTATATTGGCGCAAAGTAAGATTAATATTATTTATCATTATGATATTAAAAAAAGATATAACTTACAAAATTTTGTGCACTAGCGTCTAAACTAGGTCGAGCCTGAATCTTACACACTATTCTCTTTAGTGACATATTTATGAATATAAATACGGCACATTAAGATTAACTTATTATAATATCTTTAACTTTAAACTAAAGTATTATTCTTTTATATTTATACCTATATGACTCGGTGCGGCATACAGTAATGCCAAAAGCATAGACGAACCGTAACAGCGTTTACATCATTGGCAGATTCCTTCATAAGTTATTTCTTTGTGAGTTCCATTCTAATTAATTAAATCTTTCTTATTCAAATAAATAACAATACACAGCCGGCAATGATATCGCCACAGCAGAGTTTATTACGTATTCGTTTAGTTTCTCAGTAGAGGGGGCCGTTAGGTGGGGGCCCTCCAGCCTTGCTGTGACATTCGGCGATCGGTGCGTTATCAAGTCGTTTATTTCACAATGTCAATGAGAAGGTCACGCTTATTTTCGGCGGGGCTTGAGGCGTCCACGTGTGATATCCAATAATTAGGAATTGATTCAATGCGTGGTTTTTATATTTATGCAACAGTTGGCCACTGGGTCGAGAGTAGAGATGAGTGCATTAAAAAACCAAATTGCGCAGACTGGTAGGTATCACATACGGCTTAAGGCAATACAAATGTGGCTGTCGTGTCGGCAACAGGCGGTGTTGTAAATACACTCGGCGTTTAGCAACGATAACGTTGCCACATTTAACCTTGCCAAGTTCTCACGAGGGAAGTGTATATTCTGTGCCTTGACAATACCTGTATAGGCCTTTGTTAGCACTGGAACTAAATATCCTGTATTGCCTAAAATCATCGCCGACCTAGCTATAGGATTGACATAACTTGTTTCCTAACATATTTCTAAGTCGCGACGTTGTTAGCGTGAGTTGTACGGTGATTCAACGCCTGGACGCGAATAAATTTATTTTACAAGCTGACTTATTTTTAGCTCATTATTTATTTGAAAAAAAAAACTACGCAATTTAAAACGTACGTTATGTCAACACTTAAGAACATTTTATTGATTGTTTAAATTTGTTAATAACGGTAATATTAATCGTTATTGTTAGTTAAAAGATTGCGAAAGTCGATGCATGACATTGTAAAAACGGCGATGCCTCGGTGGCCTACAAGTGCGATCGAGCAGCGCGGGGCCATGACATATAAAGTATGACATCGATGTTAAACTCAGAATTCTATGAACAATACACGCGAATTTCATGTAAAAAAAAAAACTGTATTTTTCTTGACGTCTATTGTTAGGCTATATAAATAATAGACAATAAGTATTAAATAGCCGTTCTATGAGGAATCTATTAGGGAGGCCCATAATCAGAAGTGGGCTTTTACTAGGATTTATCATACCGTTTAATATGGTATGGGTAATACGGTATGATAAATTTTTCTCTCTCTCTCTCTCACTCTCTGCAATACTTAATTAGTACGTGGTAGATAATTAGTGTCAACCATGTCAACTGCCAATATCTCATATTTTACAGAAAATACCCTTCTGCTTTTTATTCCCACAGATATATTTACCTATGTATTATTTTTAATGATTAATTCGCAACGAAAGGATCACGCTATGTGGGTTCATTATGCTCAACCAGGCTTATCTCTCCATGGGGTCTGAATCCCGTGGGATAAAGCGAACCCCTCCAGATTTGCCGGATGTTTAAGTTAGTGTGAACGGCGATTTTAATTATATTTAATTACTACATATTCTAATAACAAAGTAAAATGGATAAATACTGATAATAAAGTATCATAAAAACGTCAAGTCATGATGTAAGTAGGTATTTATAATTAAAGTACATATGACACATTTTTGTGTGCGTTAGAGCTTTTGTAATACCTCTTAAGAAAAATAACTGAGTGGCTCAGTGTCTCTAATTGACTACTTATAAATTAGACCAGAGGTCGAATGAAGACAAGAGATTACACACTGTATTCAATCAAACAAAGCTACGCAACTAGCTGTTGAAACTCGGCATAATTTCAACATGCGCCGTTACGTTAGAGGTTGGCATATCCCAGCCGTGTCGCGAGTACCTACCATGATAGATCGCTTTTTGACAATGCTCTAAATTTAAAAGCCTCCTATGGAAAAAATTAAGTTGAAAAAGGCGTTGAAGTTTTGCAGACTTATAGGTACCTATTCTTAGAACTAATATTCTAATCACTTGTTCTTAATAACATAAATTGTTGTATGGGTTTAGATGTATTACATTTAAGGCTTTTTTAATCAAATTTTTATAATAATTGCTACTGAAAAGTTATAAATTTCATTTTATGTTATGATGTACACATACAATACTTATGTTTATCTATGTATATAATTAATTGTTGATACTTACTTTGCAAACATATTCTTCTTGCGTGCGCACGTCCACACATCTACAAAGCGAGGAACCCTCAACTTGTTCCAATAATAGGTATTTTTCTGCTACAAGAGCCGCTTGGAACTGGTGCTGCAGTGGGGTAGGACTACTTGGCGCCGGGCTTGTGGGTGAAGGCGTCGCAGAAAGCCGGTCGACAAGTGATGGCGACTGAGGTCTCTCTTCAGCTTTGCTATTCTCCCCATTTGATGTAACGGGGACCGTCACCGTAGGCTTGCTCAAGCGCAGCGGCCATAACAACGAAGGCGATCCCGGATCCATCACAACACAAAAACACTGTCACTCACGATACACTTAACTAAACATCCACAATACGTGCACTAACACTTATAAACGAAGAGGAACTATGATGAGATGAACATGATCTGTAACAAAACGAAATGTTATTAAAATCTTTCAAGTATTACAAATTAAAATTCATTTAATATAAGTTACAGAAAAATGTTTAAAGCAAGGAAAATTAAAAAATACCTACAAAATACTAAAAATTACGAACCTTGAAATGAATCGGCCTGAGTGGATATCGTACCAAAATTTGACTGTCCGTGTCGGCGAATATCGCTTTATTAAATCTTGTGGAATTACAGGATTACTCTCCGTAGTAATTCGAGCAAGTTTAGACAGGCCAATATTTTGGGCCGGTGTCCGCTCGGGATATTGTAAAACTAAACGAACACACGACCAACTCTTACTAACGCCATTGCGAGACTGACAGAGTGAGAGAGTGGGACTAGCGTGACGAGCTCACGAGCTGACGCGGGCACTCGGAGGACTCGGACGGGCCTCGGGTCGCGGCAGCCGATCCAACGTCCAATGTCGACACACCGTCGGCTTGCGTAGTACGCGAGTATACGCCATGCGGTTCAAAGCAGTAACTACAGTTATTTGCTATCTCTTTCTATCGTAAGATTTTACTACTCTTTGGAAGAGGAAAGAAACAGACCATTCATTTACGTTTGGCAATGCTATGATGATGTAAAATGTGTTGTTTCAATATTTTCACAACAATAAATATAATTTAACATCAGAAATAGGTAATTGCATTAAACAAAAACGTTACATATAAGTTGTGAAAATCATTTACGTTAGGATAAAGCCGAAAACTGCTTCTGTTTTTAAGAAATTGTATCAGTTCCAAAGTCAGATTATACCTACCTATTTTATTTTGTAATAAGTACCTAAACCGTTGAATTTAAAACTTATTAGGTATCTATTCATTCGATAAAAATATCGGATAACTAAAATTAAACATAATTATATCCATGTGTATATTTTTACCTGTGTAGTAGGTATATGAATATATATAAAAATAAAAAGAAGCGAGAATAAACAGCCGAGTTGATAAATCTTAAAGATATCTACTTTTAATTTTAATGCTTTTAGATTTGAATTTTTTTAAATGAATCAAACCAAACCACGAGCAGAATCCTTTAAAAATAAATAAACATAATGAAAACAAATAATAATGCTGTTTTCTATTGCGTATAATATTTTAATATTTAGGTATTTAATTGTCTAATCTAAATAAAAAAAACCTTTTCTTATTATCATCTATAGGTTATCTATACCTTATTTATCTTTACATGGTAGCTGAAGCATGGGCACAACACCAACAGTGTGACAGCACAACATGAGAAACATAAATTGAGGGAGTCTTTTAGACTGTTATTTATTCTGTGCTTAGAGCATTTATAATAAGTAGTTTTGCTTATAAAATAAATAATCTAAGGGGACTCCAATCCAAGAACTGTATGTGTGTGTGTGTGTAAATGTACATTAAGCTATAGTTAAACAAGCGAATTTAAAAAAAGGACAATTTCAACAACAACTTTTGACGTCGTAAATTTTTGAATCAACATTTTGTTTTAATACATAATGATTTTTTCATCCATATTCTGCATTACAAGACGTGTGAAAAGGAAAAACTAAATATAGATAACAGACATTACTAAAGATTATCAGCGTTTAGTGAAAAAATATAGTAAACGTGGTCCATTCGAAAAGAAAACCATCGTGGCAGAAAAGTGAACTAGAATTTAAAGAATAAGGGTGACAAACGAGCGCAGAGTCCACCCGAAAAAGTAAGTGGATGCTGTGACCCATAGATCATAGCCCATCATAGATTGGGAAGAAACCACGTTATCAGAATATACGAAAACCGGAGCTCCTTTTTACTTATGTGAAATGCCACAAGTACTTTATGGGTGATAAGTGACAACATATCTGCATTTTGATTCTTAATCAATCACAGATGTATATTTATCTATTTTTGATTGTGGATTCATTCATCATCATGATAATCATGGCTCCGTGGCTCAGTGGCTTAGCAATGAGTTGCAGCGCCTATAGTAAATAAATTGTTCCGGTCTGGATGTTTGTCATTGTGCAATTTATGTTTGTAAACTGTCTCCACGATACAGGAGAAATCCGAGTGTGATGAGGGTACATTAAAAAAAAAATAAGAAAGTCAGAAATCATTACAGCCCTTTACAAGTACATTGCTGAACTCTCGCATAAATAATGCCAGAGCGTGGCGAACTTTTCCCTGCTCTAAAACCCTCACAAAATGAGAAGAAGCCTATGCCGTGCCTAAGACTAAGTTAATGTTTTCCTTCACTGCTGAACACGTGGAAATTCAGCTTTTAAAATTGCAATTTACAATTTCATTGGCGCAAGTGAGGATCACGTACTATGAAATTATGGCGACCGCTTAGCTTTAGGAAACGCTTTAGGTATATACTCACTTTTGGTGGTAAGTTTGTTTTGTATTTTCTACTGACTTCAAAAAAGAGACGGTACTCAATTCGACTGTGTTTTTTTTAAATGTGTGTTAACTCATAACTTTTTTCTGGGTGAACTGATTTCGATGATTCTTTTTTTATCTGAAAGCTGGTGATTCTCATGTGGTCCCATGTAAATTTGATCAAGGTCTGACCAATAGTTTTTGAGTTATTCTTAATAATTTATATTGAAAGTCGGTTTTACAAAATTTTAATTTTTAATTATCTTTATATATAAAAATTACGTGTCACGTTGTTTGTCCGCGATGGACTTCTAAACTAATGAACTGATTTCAATAAAATTTTGCACACTGTGTGCAGTTTGGTCCAACTTGAGAGATAGGAAAGTTTTTATCCCGCTAAATGACCCTCAAAATTTTTTATTGCGAATTTAAGGATTTTTTCATAGGAAGGGTCGTCGGAAAGGACAGAACAACGTCTGCCTGGCCAGCTAGTAATTTTATATGATTTGCGTGTGATATATTATAATAGTTTTAAAAATGTAAGACTCCAATTGTGAAGACTACTTAACATCACTGGCACTCTGGCAAACAAAATTGGAAGGCACACTGATCGATGAATAATGTTGACTAGGTAGCTGTTAACTAATGCCGTTACCGTTACAGACCATTAAAGTCCATATATTGCCCCATATGCCATTAATTGCCACACTTGCGGGTTGGCAACCGCAGTTATTTTTATTTTAGTCGTTATTAGGAAGACATCTCCTGATTTGTTTTCCACTGTCGCCCCTTGCGGTACCCACGGGATGATATGGGGTAGTGGATATTCTTACACCGTCACTACACGGCTAGTTAACTAACGTAGTTATCCCCTAACCTTATTTATATTTAATCGTCATTTTATAGTAGTTAATTAATAGATAAATAAAATATAATGTATATACGTAGTTAACGTAAAACGGATGAATAATGAAAATAGAAGTTTTTTTAAAGTTAATTCAAAGGCCATTTTTATACTATAAGAGACGGAAGAAGGGCACTACATTGGTATTAAATTAGAAATAATGCTAAGAAAAATTTGTAGGAGCATTTTTTTTTTGTTACATAACTTATATTTCTTAGCCAGTAACAACTTATTTGAGCAAATTTATTAGTACTTGGCACATTTTAGTTGAATAAGAAAATGCTGCAATGCTCTAATGGGTTCAGTGATTTACACTATTTCGAAAAAAAAAACTGCTACTAATGGTAGTAAAGAAGTTAGAAAAAATTAAAATTAAATTAATTACTTAATATTTACACGGACAATGCTTTGTAACGAATTGCAAAAACTTGCAATACGTACTCATTTATTACTCATTTATGACTACATGCATAAATTGCTGTATTTATATAATTATTGCTGTCAATTTCTTTATTCTAGGTTAAATGTAATCATAAAGCAAATCATGAATCTAATATAAAAAGTAAATTTTTGTTTGTTCATATTTTATGCGCTGCCGTACCGTTTATCAGAATGCGCTTAAACTTGGTCAACTTTTTTCTTGCATTTGTGCGAAGGTTATAGGTATAGTAAAATTAACGTAGGTGGCGCGCGTATCGGTACCGAATTTATTTGAAAGCCACATTATATCATTCAATTTGATTATAAATGTGTTATCATTCCTAATTAAACAATATAACTCTTCCAAATTTAAAACGATATTTCCACAACTATTTCGTCTGCGGCAACAACGCGCCGGGACCAGCCAGTCAATGATAAATTTTTAAACGAATTTACTATATAACCCACTATCTATAGAACTGAAACACAAAGAAAAAATACATTGGAAATCTTTCTCACCTCGTGCGTATCAGTACTGTTTTAGGACGCTGAGAACAGCTTTGTTGACAGCTCCTAAAGCGGGCGGGAAACGAGAACCAATCCTGACTGCTGCTTTGGTGATACTGACAGGTCCTTTTGTTTTGTTAATAGTTTACATTAATCATGATCAGCATTTAGTTGCGCAATCATTTACATTCTAAAATCATTGTGCAATTTTAAAGAATCATATTCACAGTTGTTTCACTTATACAGCTTTTCAATGTCGCAGGTTCTAAGATCGTAGGACGTTCCATAAGTTAAGAAAGTTTAATAAACAAAGACAGGTAAAAAAGTTCTATTTCCAATTATAATTTTTTTTTGGAGTTTATGGCCTGGTATCTAGACCTTTAGGCCAAGTCTTAAGTATTTTTATTCGGTTTATTGTAACTTTCCCACTCCTTCATAGTATACTGCTTCACAATATGTTGATGCGTCACATTGTGCAGTTCTTGGGAGATTTTGGCGGCAACTTGATCCAGCAGACAGCTGATAGTTGGCGATGGTATCTAAAGGTGCCTATGCAAACAAACAGCTTATCTTGAGAATCCATCAGAGCACTTGTTTCACTGTTTCCACTAATAGTTCACATGCGTAGACACTTAATACACAAAATCGCAACACTTTTACATATCAAAGTCCACTTCAAACCATTATTTAAACAATAATACAGGAGCAGCAAACCGCCGCCGGTCAATTTCCCGCCAAAACTCTCTATTTCCAATTATCATGTCAGCGGTAGGGTTGCCATCTTTTTTTTAGAACAAATATAGTATTTTTTACTTTTGGGAAATTCAGGAAAAAAAGGACACATTTATTTTTAATCTTTATGTCTTTTATTTTCCATTTAAAATGATCTATTACCTTTGAAATAACTATATGAATCTGAGCAATTTACATTCATATTAAAATAAATTACAATACATTTTAATTAAAATACATGCTCTATTTCTTTCTTTTTTTTTTTTTATAGTATAGGGTGACAAACGAGCACACAGTCCACCTGATGGTAAGTGGTTACTGTGACCCATAGACATCTACATCTATCCTCAATAAAGACTCAAGATGCAGATGCGTTGTCACCCGTGAGGACTAGGATGGAATGCCTCTTTTCCAGTAAAATGTGTCTCCGGTTCTCTACGCTCACCATACGAAACACAGCAGCGTTGAGCTGCTATTTTACGCTGGTTTTCTGTGAGAGCGTGGTCCTTCCCCGGTCGAGCCGACCCATTCGTGCTACAACTATACTACTAA